TGCGTGCGTGCGCCCACGTGGGCGCATGCGCGTGTGCGTGTGTGCGTGTGTGCGTTTGCTCGTGTGTGTGCGTGCGTGTGGTGTGTGCGTTTACGTGTGCGTGTGCGTGTAGGTGTATGTGTGCGCGTTCGTGTGCGCGTGCGTGTGCCTGTGCCTGTGCTCGTGTGCGTGCGTGTGCGTGCGTGTGTGTGTGCGTGTGTGTGTGCGTGTGTGCGTGTGCGTGTATCGATGTGCGCGCGTGTGCGTGCGCGCGTGCGCGCATGTGTGCGTGCGTGCGTGCGTGCGTGTGTGCGTGTGTGCGTGTGTGCGTGTGTGTGTGTGTGTGTGTGCGTGCGTGCGTGCGTGCGTGCGTGCGTGCGTGCGTGCGTGTGTGTGCGGTGCGTGTGCGTGTGCGTGTGTGTGCGTGTGCGCGTGTGCGCGTGCGCGTGCGCGCGTGTGCAGGGTGTGTGCGTGTGTGCGTGTATTTGTGTGTGTGTGTGCGCGTGTATGCTTGTGTGCGTGTGTGTGTGCGTGTGTGCGTGTGCGCGTGTGCGCGTGTGTGTGCGTGGGTGCGTGTGCGCGTGTGCGGGTATGCGTGTGTGTGTGTGTGTGTGTGGTGCGTGTGGTGTGTGTGTGTGGTGTCTGTGAATGTGTGTGTGCGCGTGCGTACGTGCGCGTGCGTGCGTGCGTGAGTGTGTGTGTGTGTGTGTGCATGTGTGTGTGCGTGCGTGTGGGCGTGTGTGCTTGTGTGCGTGTGTGCGTGTGTACGTGTGCGTGTGCGCGTGTCGGGTATGCGGGTGTGTGTGTGTGTGTGCGTGTGTGTGTGTGTGTGCGCGTGCGTACGTGTGCGTGCGTGCGTGCGTGTGTGCGTGCGTGCGTGTGCATGCGTGTGTGTGTGTGTTGTTTGTGTGTGTGGGAGAGTGTGAGTGTGTGTGTGTGTGTGCATGTGTGCGTGCGCGTGTGTGTGTGTGTGTGTGTGTATGTGTGTGAGTGGGTTCGTGGGTACGTGTGCGGGTGCGCGTGTGCGGGTGCGCGGGTGCGGGTGCGCGTGTGCGTGTGCGTGTGCGTGTGCGTGTGCGTGTGCGTGTGCGTGTGTGTGTGTGTGTGTGCGTGTGTGTGTGTGTGTGTGTGTGCGTGTGTGCGTGTCGTGTGTGCGTGTGTGCGTGTGTGCGTGTGTGCGTGTGTGCGTGCGTTTGTGAAGGAAAAGGCGGGGGGACCGAGTAACAACAATGGGCATTACAATTCGCGTTCGCAAAGCAATAACCAACGGTCCGTATGGATTTCTAGGATCGGCGTGGGACCCCCGTCCCTGGCGCGCGGATCGCGCCAGCCGGGGGCGCCGCCAGGGGGGGGGCCGGGGGCCAGCGGCGATTCCAGTGACCCGCGCGGATCTCCAACAGTTTCTGTGCATACCGCGCCTTGGTTGTCATCCCCCTCCCACTGGTTCTGGACCGGGGCGGAGGGGCGCGAGGGCAGCAGCCGCCCGCGGAAGACTTGCCCGTAGCTCGGAGCTCGAAGCGGGAGGAGGTCAGGGGCAACGACAGGGTGCGGGGCTGGCCAAGGGGGGCATCGACCCCCAATGGCTCCAGTCCTCGCAGATCGTTGCCCGGGTGCCCAAATTTGCCCGGGAATCTGGGGCGTCGCTATCGGGAGCCCATCGCCGATCCATCGGCGATGTGCCGCCGAGTCCAGGTCATATCCCCTGCCCAGCCGAAACCTCCCTATCGTTCCCCAGCTGCTGGCGTAATCGGGTCCAGCCTCGACCGTATGATGGCGTCTTGAGCATTGTGCGCACATGCGACATGTGGTCTCACTTGGTTGTCCTTCAGGTGCTGGTTGGTGCGGGTGGCGGGTGTAGGTCTGGCCTGCGCTGCCGCAGGAAGGTGTTGATGTCGGAAAAAGCGCGTTCGGTGGTCGCTTGGAAGGGGGGAAAGAAGGGTTTGGAACCAGACTCCCCCCCTGGATGGAGGGGGCGGGTTCGAGCCCCCCCTCCCCCCCCCTAGTTTTCCTCTCTCCCTCTCCTCGGGCCGGCGCCTGCGTCGGTGGCGGCTGGCGGCGGCGTCAAGGACGACGACTTTTTTTTCTGGGCCGGCGCCGGCGCCTGCGGCGGCGGGCGGCGGCGGCGGGGAGCGTCGACGAGGACGGCGGCGACGACGATGACGACGACGACGACGACGCTCTGCCACCGTGCCTTCGTTTCGGGTCAAACTCGTAATGGATGCCTCTTGGGGTCTCGGTCTCGTCGGAGGGCTGTCGGTGGCCTCTGAAGGGTGTTTGTGAAGTCTCCTGGGCGCCTCTTGGGCGTCTCTTGGGGCCTCTCTGAGGTGGTGGTGGTGGTGGTGGGCTGGTGGTGGTGGTAGTGGTGGTGGTGGTGGCGGTGGCGGTGGTGGTGGTGGTGGTGGTGGTGTGGTGGTTGGTGGTGGTTTTAGTGGTTGTGGCGGTTGTGGTGGTAGGTTGTGGTGTGGTGGTGGTGGTGAGTGGTGGTGGTGTGGTGGTGGTGGTGTGGTGGTGGTGGTGGTGGTGGGTGGTGGTGGTGGTGGTGTGGTGGTGGTGGTGGGTGAAGGTGGTGGTGGTGGTGGTGTGGTGGGTTGTCATGGTGGTTGTGGTGATGGTAGTGGTTGTGGTGGTGGTGGTGGGGTTGTGGTGGTGGTGGCGGTAGTGGTGGTTGTGGTGGTGATGGTGGTGGTTTGTTGTGGTGGTGGTGGTTGTGGCGGTGGTGGGTGGTGCTGGTGATGGTGGTGGTGGTAGTGGTGTGGTGGTTTGTGGAAAGGGTGGTGGTGGTGGGTTGTGGTGGTGGTGGTGGTGGCGGTGGTGGTTGTGGTGGTGGTACTGCGGTAGTGGTTGTGATGGTTAGTGTTGGTGGTGGTGTGGTGGTGGTGGTAGTTTGGTGGTCGCGTGGTGGTGGTTTGTGGTGGTGGTGGTGGTGGGTTGTTGTGGTGGTGGTGTTGGCAGTGGTGGTGGTGGTGGCGGTGGTGGTTGTGGTGTGGTGGTAGTTGTGGTGGAAGTGTTCGTAGCGATGGTTTGTGGAGGTGGTGCTGGTGATGGTGGTGGTGGCGATGGTGGTGGTGGTGGTGTGGTGGTTTGTGGTGGTGGTGGTGGTGGTGGTGGTGGTGGTGGGTTGTGCTGCTGGAAGTGGTGGTGGTTGTGGCGGTGTTGGTGGTGGTGTGGTGGGTTGTGGGGGTGGTGGCGGTAGGGGTGGTGGGTTGTTGTGGTTGTGGTGGTGAGTTGTTGTGGTGGTGGTACTGAGGTGGTGGTGGTGGTTGGTGGTGGTGGTGGGTTGAGATTGTGGTTGTGGTGGTATTGGTGGTGGCGGTGGTGGTGGTAGTGGCGTGGTGGTTTGTGGTGGTGGTGGTGGGCTGTGGTGTTGATGGTGGTGGCGGTGCTGCTGGTAGCGGTGCTGGTGGTGGTGGTGGGCGCTGGGTGGTGGATAGTGGTGGTGGTAGGTGGTAATGCTGGTGATGGTGGTGGTTGTGGTGGTGGTTGTGTGGTGGTTTATGGTGATGGTGGTGGGTTGTGGTGATGGTTGTGGTTGTGGCGGTGGTGGCGATGGTGCTAGTAATGGTGTGGTGGTTGTGGTGGTGGTGGTGGTGGTGGTGGTGGTGGTTGTGATGGTTGTGGGGGTGGTGGTGGTGCTGGTGGTTCTGGCGTTTTTGGTGGTGGTGGTGGTGGTGGTGGTGGTGGTGGTGGTGGTGGTGGTGGTGGTGGTGTAGTGGTTTATGGTGATAGTGGTGGTTGTGGTGGTGGTTGTGGTGGTTTGTGGTGGTGGTGGTGGTGGTGGTGATGGCGGTGGTGGTGGTGGTAGTGGTGGTGGTGTTGTGGTTTGTGGTGGTGGTGTGGCCTTCGGCTCGTCCCGCCACTGTATTTTGGCTTTGGGTCAGAGTTCTCGTCAGAAGGGTCTCGGGGGCGTCTGAGGAGCATGTGTGAAGTTTCGTGGACTTTCCTGAGGGCCTCTCGGTGGCCTCTGGGGGGCGAGGGCTCGATATGGCGATTCGCGTGTTCCCCCTGCGGCTTCTGGGCCTTCTCTGGTCATCGTCGATGCGTCCCCGCCGTCGGCGTTGCTGGCCGCCGCCAGCGCCGGCGCCGGCGTCGGCGCGGGGGGGGGTTTGGACCCACCCCCCCTCCCCAGGACCCCCCCTGGTCATCGTCGCTGCGTCCCCGCCGTCGGCGCTGCTGGCGGACGCCAGCGCCGGCGCCGGCGTTCGGGGGGGGGGGCTTGGATCCCCCCCCCATTGGGAGGGGGAGGGAGGGAGGGGGCTAGGTGGGAGGGGAGTGCCCCTGGTTCTGATCGACGGCGCCGAGTGTTTGGGGGGGCCACCCCCCGGTTTGAAACGCGCCGCCGAATGTTCCCAAGGCAAGCGCCCGTAAAACGCATTCTCTCCGTCGTCTTCCATCGCTTGTGCCGCTCCCCCCCGTTGTTGCGTCGCTGGAAGGAGGGGGGGAGGACTAGGCGGAGAAAAGCGGGAAACTCACAATTACATAAACGATAACTTTCGGAGGTCCTCGCGGATGTTTTGGCGCCAGGGGTGGCGCCAGAGGCGCCGCCAGGGGACCCGAGCGCCGATCCGAGAAATCCGCGCGGATCTCCGAAAGTTTATGTTTACGCCACTGCTTGTTCCCGTGGAGACTGGGAGTTGGGATCGTTCGGTCGTGTGCGCTTCTCTTGGCGAGGCCAGCCCAGGGAATCTGGACCACCTTGGGGATGGACCTAACGCTGTTTTGCTGGACTTCGGCCGTGTTCTGTTCTTCGTTTTGGGAAGGAGGTACAGGGAAGCAGCCAGGGCAACACGAAAACAAAACGAAGAACAACGTTCAGGTCCAGCCCTGCCTTGGGGCATCTTAGATCATCTTGAGGAGGGGCCCAGAAGCGCGCGCGACACCGAACAGTGCACGGGACATGGACGTACCGAGCGATGGCACGGGGAGCGGAGAGGGTGAGGAAAGACGGAGGCGACGACGACGGCGACGGCGCGGCGCCCCACCTGGGGGTCGGCCGTTGCAAGCAGCGGCCGTTGGGCGGCGAGGAGCCCAGCGGCTTCCTGGGCGGCGGCGGCTTCCCCGGGGAGGGCCCGCCAGGCCTGCCTCGCGCAAGGGGGGGGGGGGAGGGAGGAGGAGAGTGAGGAGAGCCAGGAGGGGGAGTAGGAGGAGGGGGAGGAAGGAGGGGGAGGAGGAGGACGGTCAAGGAGGAGGAGGAGGAAGAGGAAGAGGAGGAGGATGGGGAAGGTGGAGGGGGGGAGAGTCAGGAGGAGGATGGGGACGGTGGAGGGGGAGGAGGAGGAGGTGGGGGAGAGTCAGGAGGAGGAGGAGAAGGAGGAGGAAAAGGAGGAGGAAGAGGAAGAAGAGGAGGAAGAGGAGGAGGAGGCGGGGGCGACGAGAGGACGGCGTAGGTGGACCTGGTGCGCCGCCTATGCGCCAGGAGGAGGAGGCGAGGGGGAAGAGTCAGGAGGAGGAGGAGGAGGAGGAGGAGGAGGGGTAGGAGAGTCACGAGCAGCAAGAGGAGGAGGAGGAGTAAGAGGAGGATTCAAGGCGGCGAGGCGAGCCACCCGCGTCTGATATCTCTGGCTTCCAATCGTCCAACAGGCGGAGGACTGGAAGCAAGATAACAGCACATGCAAGAGATCAGAGAAGGACGAGACAGGTGGACCCCACCTGTCTCATCCTGTTAGATTATCTTGCATATGCGGTTTGTAACTAGTACGACCCCATCGGCGTCTGCACGGTTGTGCGCAGGATGAGGGGGAGTAAAGGTAGCCAGGTCGACCGAGTCAGCTTCTTCGAAGCCTCTTAGACGCATTTTGTCTCAGCAACCTCTCGGGAGCTTCCCCGAAGCCTTTCAGAAGCTTCTCTGAGGCCACCCCCTAGCATCTCAGGAATATTCCAGAAGTGTGTCAGAAACATGTCAAAAGCCTCTTATGAGACTCTGGGAATGCCTTCTTCGTGGCCCCATGGGGAGCTCCACCGACGGCCCCAGTGCCGCCGCCCGCATGCGTCCCGCACACCCAATTCGGCACACCCCTCACACGTTTCGTGGCCCCATAGGGAGCTCCACCGAAGGCCCCAGTGCCCCCGCCTGCATGCGTCCCGCACGCCCAATTCGGCATACCCCTTACACGTTTCGTGGCCCCATGAGGAGCTCCACCGAAGGCCCCAGTGCCGCCGCCCGCATGCGTCCCGCACACCGAATTCGGCACACTCCTCGCACGTTTCGTGGCCCCATAGGGAGCTCCACCGAAGGCCCCAGTGGCGGCGCTCACATGTGCATGCGTCACCCACACCGAATTCGGCACACTCCTCACACGTTTCGTGGCCCCATGGAGTATCCACCGGAGGCCCCCGTGGCGGCGCTCACATGCGTTACCCACACCCACTCGATTCAGCACACCCTCACACGCTTCGTGGCCCGTAGGGAGCTCCACCGAAGGCCCCAGTGGCCGCGCTCACATGCGTCCCCACCACCCATCCCGGCACGCCCCTCACACGCTTCGTGGCCCTACAGGGAGCTCCACCGAAGGCCCCAGTGGCACCGCTCGCATGCGTCCCGCACGCCCAATTCGGCACACCCCTCACACGCTTCGTGGCCCCATAGGGAGCTCCACCGAAGGCCCCAGTGGCGGCGCTCACATGTGCATGCGTCACCCACACCGAATTCGGCACACTCCTCACACGTTTCGTGGCCCCATGGAGTATCCACCGGAGGCCCCCGTGGCGGCGCTCACATGCGTCACCCACACCCACTCGATTCAGCACGCCCTCACACGCTTCGTGGCCCAGCACACCCCCACACGCTTCGTGGCCCAGCACACCCACTCGATTCAGCACACCCTCACACCCACCGAATTCGGCACACCCCGCACAGGTTTCGTGGCCCCATAGAGAGCTCCACCGGAGGCCCCAGTGGCGGCGCTCACATGCGTCACCCACACCCACCCAATTCGGCACACCCCTCACACGTTTCGTGGCCCCGTAGGGAGCTCCACCGAAGGCCCCAGTGGCCGCGCTCACATGCGTCCCCACCACCCATCCCGGCACGCCCCTCACACGCTTCGTGGTCCCATAGGGAGCTCCACCGAAGACCCCAGTGGCACCGCCCTCATGCGTCACCCCCACGCCCAATTCGGCACACCCCTCACACGTTTCGTGGCCCCGTAGGGAGCTCCACCGAAGGCCCCAGTGGCGGCGCTCACATGCGTCCCCGCCACACATCCTGGTACACCCCTCACACGCTTCGTGGCCCCATAGTGAGCTCCACCGAAGGCCCCAATGGCGGCACTCACATGCGTCTCCGCCACCCATCCTGGCACCCTCCCCCCGCATGTTTCGGGGCTGGGACTTTCGGTTGAGCTCCCTATGGGGCCACGAAACGTGTGAGGGGGTTGCCGACATGGTAGACGGATTCGGAGAGCAGGGGCAACGCTGGGAGGAGAGGAGATGAGAGGAGACGCGCGTCGCTGTCTCCTCAAAACTGGGACCCAACACCACAGGATGGTTGGGAACAAAGATAGCAGTCAATATGGGTGGCGATTGTTCCAGGGGTGCAGGAGGCCGTCACTTGTGACACCTCGTGCCTCCAGGCTGGGCAGAGTCGTGATGGTGATGGTGATGGTGATGGTGAGGAGGAGGAGGAGGAGGAGGAGGAGGAGGAGAAGAAGAAGATGGAGTAGGAGGAGGAGGAGGAGGAGGAGGAGAAGGAAGTGGATTGAGACGAAGTCTGTCACATGTGGCACATTCCATTTCATTATTTGAGGGGCTCTCTTGAAACTCGTTTGGACCGTCTTGTGGCTGTCTAGGCCTCCTGCGAGGCATTCTGGGTGGCCCCCTGGGGCCCTTCCAGGCCGTTTGGGGGTCCCTCTTAGGCCGTCTGGGAGCTCCCTTGGGCCGTTCTGGGGTCCTCTGCTTGGAGGAATCTTCGCCTCTGGAGCGCGAACCCGTTGAAGTGTTCTGGCTGTTGTCGCCTCGAGAGCGCGAGCATGCCGTATTTTACTAGGGGTTGCGGCCTCGGGGGCGCGAGCGCGCCGCATTTTGTTAAGGTTTGTGTTCATGATGGCCCCGGTGCTCGAACACGACCTCCACAGGCCGAGGTGCAGGGGAAACGGCGCGACTGAAATAGTGACATCGTCGGGCGTCAGGGGGGCGGGGGGTCCCAAAAGCTTCAGGACTGCCTCCAGGAGGCCCCAGAGGGGCCTCGACGAGATCCCGACGAACATCCAAGAGGCCTCAGACCCACCACCCGGGCACGGTGGCGGGATGGGCCGAAGGCGTCTTCGGTATGGGCCGCAGGAGTCTGGGGGAGGAGCGGGGGCACGCGGTTCCGCGCAGGGCCGCCGCAAGCCGCGCTCGTGCCCCTGCCCTGCGCCGGCGCCAGGCGCCGTCCGTGTGCCGGAGCTCACGCCGGAGGAGGCGCGCTTGGGGCCGCTTGCTCAGGAGCGACAGGAGGACGCACACGTGTACGGATCCACGCTAGTTTCGAGAGTGCGTATTGCGCGAACGTTCGTCATGCGCGGCCGGTCTCGTGGATCGAGGGGCCGTGTTCATGTACATGGTTGGGCGCGTACGTCCTTTGTGGGTTCCCTGCTTGCGCCTGCCTCGGAGCCGGCGTTCAGAGGAGCGAGAGTTCATGATCAGAATGCATTCCAAGATTCCCAGGGTCCTCAGGTTTCCTGACGTCCCACACGGGCTGTGGAAACGCGGGCCCGCTGGGTACTCCCCAGAATTCCTGGTACGCATCTTGCGCCAATCGCACCATGACATCACCATCGTCCTATACTCGGTTGCGTGCAGCAGCGGCGGGGGAGGGGCGGCTGCTTCCCAGGCCCAGATCTTCGGCGCCATGAGTTGTTCAGTCCTGGTCCTGCTGTTTCTCCTTGATTTCGCTGCCCCAGGTTAACAGACCGGGCCCCACGGGGCCTTCAAGAATGGACCTGGGACGCAAACACTCCCCCCCTGGAGGGGGTCGCGACATCCTCGTGGCCGCCCGCCGGAGACATCACATCGTCAGATGTCCTTAAAGCACCCCGCGTCTCGGGAACAGCCCCGCCTTCGGAGGGGCGTCCTTGGCCTTGCAAAGGGGCTGGTCCCTTTCGAGTCTGAAAGACCCTGCCGCCTCAGGAGGTCGGCCCCACTACTCTTCTGCGTGCCGCCGGCCTGTGTGCTGCTCGATCCCGCGAGCACCCCTGTGCCTCCGAGACGCGTCGGACACGTCCCGCCGTTGGCCCGACCGCTTGTGAGACCCAAATCGCCGCAGACCCCCCCAAAAGTGTCCATGGAACGCCTGTCGTATCCTGTGAGCCTTGTAGGTCCTCGGAATCCAGTCTTCAGAGTGCGTTAGCTGTTAGCGCGCGCTAGCGTGCGGTAATCGATGAGACAGCGCCAGGTTAGCGTCGGCTTAGCGTCGACGTAACGTCGGTTTGGCGTCGACTGCAGCGTCGCCTCGCGAGAGCCAACGAGATGGTGTGGGCGGCCCCCGGACTCGGCGTGGCCTCGGCGGCCCCCCTTGGGAGAGCGCCGCGTCCTGCGCGAGGCCTCCTCGAGCAGGGCTCATTTCGACCCCTCCGACTCGATTCGATTCGACGTCGATGGCTTCCGATTATGATTCGATCCGGCTTGGACTCTGACTTGGGCTCTGATTTCTTATTGCAGGCCTACTAGCCTGACGATATCTGCCGACCCGACTTCTCCCGACGCGGCTGCCGATCTCCGCCGATCATCCGACTTATTCCGATCGCTGATTCGACTTGTCGATTCGATCCTGGGCTCTCTTGCCCTCGAGAGGCGTGCGGCATGCGCCTGCCGTGCCGGGGAGAGGGCCCCGGCGCGCCACTCGGGGTGGTGTGCGCGGCGTGCGGGTTCGGCTCCCGCGCCCGCACGGCGCCCCGCCGAGCGGAGCGGGGACGCAGGCACCGGAGTGCAAACAGCAGAACAAGCACATTGGCTCCCAGGTCCGCGCGGACTTCTCGGATCGGCGCTGGTCCCCCCGTGGCGGCGCCTCCGGCGCCGCCCCTGGCGCGCCCAGGGCGCGCCAGAGAGGGGGGTCCAGCGCCGATCCAAGAGATCCCTCCGAGAAATTCCTTATATGCAGTTTCTGTTGTTCTACTGGAGAACATTGCATCGGGCACCCGTGGTGGCGCGGCGCTGCGGGAGGCCTCGGCGAAGATCCGTATGCCCGTGGCGAGGCGCAGATTACGCTGAGATTGCATCCGTAGCCTCCTGGGGTCGCCAGCGGCTTTCAGACCTAATTCGAGGATCTCCAATGGCCTCCAGGAGACTCCAGTGGTTTCCCTTTATGTATTTCCAGTGGGGATGGCAGAGGACGGTGTGAGACGGCTTACTTGCACCGCCCACTTTCGCAGAGGGGTTGCAGGATCCTTCCAGGATCACCTAGAATTCCCGGTGGCCCCCTAGGACTTCCAGCTTCAGCGTATGTCCTGCTTTACATGCACTTCACGTAACTATACCGAATGTCGTAATAAAGTGGTGGGGGTCTGGTGTGACCTTTCTTGACGGGTTCCAGGGGGTCTGGGCACAAGGCCACCCTTTCATGGTTGGTCTGGGGGTGGTCCGAAATGGTGCGTCTGGGAGGGCTGTGACTTGTGACCCCCCTCTTTATTATGACATCTGGAGCCCCGTCGGCCTGGTCCCTCGTCGGTGTTGGCCTCGTGTGTACCCGACCTCTTGCTGCACATCTCCCCTTCTCGTCCTGGACCCGGGCTTCTCGCCCCTTAGGGCGGCTCCAGATTCGGGGGAGGGTGGGCCCTCTCGGTAGACGTTTTGGCTCAAACCAGTCTGGTCTCGCCACGATCGTTGAGTCTCCAGACGGTGCAGATTCCTCAGGCCATGCCGCCCAAGAGGACGCGGGAGCTCGGCTTGCTGGTGCCGCGGACGCGAACGCCCCCGCCGCGGGCGCGGGCTCGCGCGCCAGCTGCGCGGTCTCGCGCGCTGGCCGCCAGGCAGGAGCTCGCCTGCTCTCGGCCGGGCCCAAGCTGTGCGCAGCCGCTGACCAGCCCTGGGCCGCAGGGCCGCAGGCGGGCGCTGGTGCCGGCCCCCGCCCCGCCTCTAGGGAGGAAGGCGAGTCGGGAGGAACGGCACTTCTCGGCACTCGACGAGAGAGACGCCAACGGGCTGGACCTCGCTGGAGACGGCGGGGAGGATGCCGAGGGCGACAGCAGCTCCAGCGGCTTCGACTCAGTCATAGAGCACCTGGGGCGGGGACGGGCTCGGATGCGACAGCTGCGCGCCAGGAGGGCGCGGCGGCGAGCGAGGCTGTATGCCGACGCGATCCTGGCAGCGCAGGATGCAGGTGTGAGCCTCTTGGAGACCTTGGCTGTGACTCAAGCCACGCAGGTGATGTACCAGCGATATCTCGATCGGTTTTACTCGCGTGTCGGCCTGAGTCGGGAGCAGATTCTGGCGAAGTGCGTCACGGAGATCGACGAGCTCATGTGCAGTTATTTGACCGAGAACAACTTGCGGGGCGAGCAGAGCAGCTACGGGGACCATGCGGTGGCAGCCTCGGTCAGCGCGAACCCGGGGTTCGGGCGCGTGGGAGGCCGCAAGCTGCCTCGGACGCGGCGTTCGCTGAAGGCCTGGCGCAGGTTGACGCCGGGCCGTCGGCGGAAGGCTTTGGCCCTGCCCATCTGCTGGTGCGGGCTGGCCTGGAGGCTGGCGCGGCGAGGCCATTTACGCCTGGCGCTGTTCCTCATGGTGGGCGTCTCGACCTAATCGCGGCCCTCGACCTTGCTAGCTGCCCGGCGGTGCGACCTGGTGCCGCCGACGGCTGGTGTCAGCCGGTTCTGGACACTGCTAACCCACCCCCGAAAGCAGAAGAAGCCCAGCAAGAGGGGCCATCTCGACGAGGGCTGCCCCCTGGACTCGCCGTACCTCCAGGGCTTGGACGCAACGTTCGAGCGTCTGGCTTCGGCGGCGTCGAAGGAGCCGCTGTGGAATTTCGACTACCCCGAGGCGGCGGCCCTGCTCAAGGAGGCCGCGGAGGACCTAGGGGTGGCGCCGGTGACGCTGCACCAGATGAAGCACTCAGGGGCCAGCATCGACCTAGCCAAGGGATGGCGCAACCTCACCGCGTCACAACGGCGAGGAGAGTGGACGCAGGCCAAGTCCATGCACTGTTACGAGCACAGCAGCAGGCTGGGCAGCAGCTACGCCAAACTAGACCCCCAGCTGCGAGCGACGTGTGAGGAGGCGGAGAGGCAGCTGACGCTCATCCTGACGGATCGGCCCCATAGCGCGCGGATGTCGCAATGGTGACCCGACTTCACCTGGGTTACCGAGGGGCGCGCTCAAAGGGCCGCCTCCGCCGTTCTCGCTTCGGCAAAGGCCAGTACCTTGCCGATCGGCTTGCAGGTTGTAGAGCAGTCTCTCGAGCAGCCGAATCAATGGGTTTCCGTTCAAAATGCTGGGATGCCATCTATGATGCAGAGTGGCAGGATTTGCTGTCGCCAGCCGTGTTGCGAGCTATCAAAGCGGGCGCTCGTGATGAGCGGCTCGCGGCCGCGGTGATGGCTCCTCCGTGCCAAACTTCTTCTCTTGCACACGACAGGTCGCGGACCGTGCGTAGCCGCGACGAGCCGCGGGGCTTGCCTTTTTCTCAGCTCACGCCTGCCGATGCCGAAGCCGTTGACTTGGGCAATCGACTGGCTCGTGTGGCGCTGTCTCTCTTCAGAGACTTCTTGCATTCAAGGGGTCCCAGTCATCCTCGAGCACCCCCTCGCCCGCCGGCTGCGGCACGCCGCAGAGGTTTGCGATTTGTCTCATCGGAAACATGTCTCAGTAGAGCAATGTCAATATGGCGCTAAATGGAAGAAGGCCACGCGACTCCTCTGTGCCCACGTTAACCACGAAGATCTAATTCAGCTCGCCCATCGACGCAGGCCAAAGGGTTGCATGTGCTCTAAGACCAGGGCGCCCCCGCTGGCATCTCAGAGGAGGGGGGCCCGGAGGTCTTCGCCGCACTTGCATCGCCTCTGAATATCTCCCACAGCTGGCGCAAGCAATGGTCTCCACTCTCCTTGCCAGCGCACTTGAATAAGGCAAATCATTCCCACCCTTTTCCTTCCTACCCTAGAGAACATCCAGCATGGATCTTTTCGGGATGAGTTGGGGGGAGGAGTTTAAAGGCGCGCCTTCGAGCTCCCGAAGCCCCTGGCCAAGACGAGCCCCGAGTTTCGCTAGATTCAGCCCCCGCAAAAAGAGGGGCCGTTGCTCGGGAGGTTTTAGAAAGGGTTGAGCAGAGGGGCCGCCCTGCGCGATGTCTCTGTTTCCAGATGTAACAGCGGGAGAAATGGAATCGCCCAGTCGTTCCTTCCCCTGCTGCCATTTCCGCTCCAGTTGTTCGTCGCCGGCCCCCCCGCCCCCCCCCCCCCCCCCCCCCCCCCCCCCCCCCCCAT